TCTTTTGCCTGACTCCCTCTTTCTCTTCATTTCCATCTTCCCTATTGACCCTCTCCTCTTTATGCTTTAGTGCCCACTAGCAATCCTGTTTATCATGTCTGCAGGAGTCTCGTATCTGCCCCTCTTTGTATGAACCCATTTACCAATATCCCCCAATTTTAAGGCCTCCGACATCCCCTCTTCTCTCCACCAGAGCAGCTCTGCCTCTCAGCTCTGGGTTCCGAGACATTTTCCAAGTGTCTCACTGTTGTGTTACCTCCTATACCCTCTTCTCTGCTGGATAAGAGACATTTAATATTTAGGAGTATCTGCAGCTCATGCCAAGTGGGACATGCGATTGTTGCACAAAAAACAGAACGCTCTCTCTCTCTCTCTGCAGTAGCTTGCTGTGTGTTTGTCTGTCCACTCTGTGACACAGTTTGGCAGAGATATTGTCTCTATGTCCGTCTCCTCTAAACAACAATCCAATGAAATTGCTCCCAACACTGCTGCACTACCGCCCATGTCTATTCTTAACTGAGGAGAGTATTGGGGCCATTAAGGACAGTATGAGCCAAAACAAAATCCAATTTGTTGTGGCAGCTGTGGAGTATAGCACTGCAAGCAAATATCCGCATGTTTAATGCGGCTGCAAATCTCTGAAGGACCTGGTCAATAGAGTTTGTACCACATTAGTTAATTATTAAGTATAAACCAAAAAAAAACACAGCCTGAACTCAAATGTTGTCATAAACCCACAGCCATTTTCAGGGGGATTTAGAATGTAATGACTGAAATGTGAATGTGTTTCTTTCATGCACCATCTTTCACTTGGTATGAATATTGTGGTCCGCACATGGATGCATCATTAAAACAATCACATCTGATCCATTTGAATTTAAACCTGAATTTATTTGCACGCACTACGATCACACATCAATAATTAATAAGCCAGATGGGGCGAGCTGACTTACGAGGAAACACCTGTTGGAATACTCTGCTACTACCTGTTTTTTTTTTTGTCTATGCATTTTTCATAAGCATGTGGTCACGCTGCAGAGAGGCACTGATGCCTGTTTGATCTGATCACAGTAAACGACAGAACGACTCCAGATGTGGTCTGACTGATCCGATTAAACATCCAGATGCAGATGGCATGTTCATGCCAGGTGACAATAGGGAAGGAGGCACCAATAACAACATGAGCAGGGGGCAGAGGAGGGTGGTTTTATGTTTTACCCCTGAAATACACAATGCAAAAAGTACAGCACTTTTTAAAATGTTTCCCTGAGTAAGAGCTACAGAAAAAGTGCTATTCAGTGCATTTGCCACCTATGCACACAAACAGACAAAGACAACCAGGAAATCTGCCAAGAACCTAGCTTTGCTTTCATCCCTAGTTGAGATGTGAAATAAGAGAAAATGGGGTCACAACGTTGTGAGACCAACCGAGGCATAGCCATGGCAACCGTGGCTGTATCTTGAGGACGAGTGATGCAAAGTTAGACATTCCACACACTTGTCCTCCTGTGTTCCCCGATCAAAGCATGAGAAGGACGGAACAAAGCAAAACAGAGCCACCGCAAAGCTTCCAGCGGTTTGTATTTTTCATGTTAAGCGAAAGGCGACCAAAATGCCTTCAAGGATGTGGGGAAATTTCCTCTCCGACGTCTTCCAAGCCAGAAAATTCTGGTTGAAAGAAAGAGGAGGAAAAAAAAGGAGATGACTGAGCAAACTGGTGCGTAAAGCAGAGAAAATGGTGGGAATGAGAGAGGTCAGCTGCTCCAGTCACAGAGAGAGAGAGAGAGAGAGAAGAAAGCAATTACAAAACAATAGGACTTCCTAAATAGTTTGCAGCGGCTTTGAAGCATTTAAGGACACAGCACCTCTCACCCGGACCCAGACAGTGGCCATATCAAGAGAAATCTGGTCAACAACACACACAACAGTCCCTGAATGCTGACAGCTCAAATACTGCCACTCAACAAGTGACACCTCTATTTGAGCTCCCAGGGGAAGGTTATTTTGGTCGCGCACACAGATACATGCACGGGTATCCATGGCGACGCAGCCCTGCTCAGGAGCCCAGCGGGGGGTTAACGGGCGGCCGGGGCGACTTTGATAACTTGCCGATGACTCAGCTGGTAGAATTTAGCACAGCATGGTATGGAAAGCTGGGACAGGGGTGACCTCATTCCACTGGCTGCCTTGTCCCGCCCCGTGTGAGGGCCAGCGGTCCGAAAGAATGAACACCAGCGACAGAGGGAAAAAAAGGGGGTCAGGGAAAAGAATGGCGGCACAGGAGAGGTGTCCCATATCCAGACAAACATCCCACATAGTGATCATGAGTGTGTGTGTGTGTGTGTGTGTGTGTGTGTGTGTGTGTGTGTGTGTGTGTGTGTGTGTGAGATTCTTTGTGTGTTTGTGGTTCTGAAGCTATATTTAAAGTGGGAACATACGTTTATACTAAAGGGACACAAGCAGGGGGAAATGAATAAAGCAGTACTGCTCTCATTGAATACAAACTCAGTTATCCGACCCAGATCTTCAGGCTCTGATCGTCACGTGCAACACCTCTGAGTTTACTTTGTGAAAGATGACGGACCTTGTTTTTTGCCCTGCACAGACCAGAGCTCAGGCAAGAGCCCAGGGCACAGTCTGAGGGCACGTAATAACAGGGAGCCTCGGGCACATCAGTCAGACACTCGAACCCTGGAGCTTTACAGCTGCAGCGGCAGAGGTCAGCCTGACAATCACTCACAATGTCACGTCAATGCCGACATATGTTTGGGACAAATAAAAAGTAAATAACAGGGGGAACGTCGACAAACGTGCCATTTAAAAACACATTTCTTATGCAGGGTTTCTGCACGTTTAAACAAGTTAAATTTAAGACTTTTTGATGAACATAATGAAGGAAATTCCAGAGCTATGTGAAGGACGACAGTCAGAAATTCATTTAAGACTTTTCAGGGCCTAGAATTCGGATAATTATATTTGTTGGACTTTTTAGGACCCTGCAGAAATCCTGTTATCTGTGAAACAACATTCAAGAGCAACTAAAGGGGGGAATTAATACTGTTGTTCTGCAGTTTGGCAGTGATGGCACACAGCGGAGCAGATAGGCTGTCTAAACATTGATAGACTCTTATAAAAGGTTCTGCTTATCCCAGCGATTATTCTGCATCAGGGACCCAAGAGCCATTCCAAAGTAAATCACAGGCTTGTGTCTTGTGGTTCTTTAGTTTGCAAATGAGCTCACATGAAAGAAATCTTGAGAAGGCACATGCAGCAATGTGCAGACCAGTGTGAGCTTTGATAGTTCATCAAAACAGGTTGCGCAACTCTTCTCCAGTGTAATATGCTTTATTAACGTGGTCTTGCCACTGAAAGTGGATGAATTCTGATGGAGCCCAGCTGCTGATAGATAAATGTGTGTGTGTGCAGGATAGTGATAAGAACAACAGGTCCAGTTAATGACAACCTGAAGACTGACGTTAGTTGAACCTGTTCCCTCCATGCTGTTGTCCATCTCTGCTGCTGATATACTGAAGAAATAAATTTACTAAAGCAACAAAGGACAGTCTAACATTTACTTAGATTTTACAACAAGAGAGTAAAACTAATCTATTCTTCTCGAATAACCTCATAAATATGAATACACTTCTAAAACAAATCAGCTCATAGTTTGGTGAAATAACGGTGTACAAAAGCAGGAAGTTACATAAGCACCGAATACCACTTGCCAATAATATTAAGAGCAAGCTTTGTATGAACAATGTGACTTAACACTTCAGTCCTAAATCCTTTGCCCACTGCTTCACGGTGTGGAACAGTCTCCTATTACAAAGCAATTAACAATTAACCAGATGAGTCTGGTGATGCACCTAGAAAACCTGCAGGAGAGCTGACCTCTATTAGAAACCCTCCATGACGGCGGACTCCTCAGACGTAATTTGTGGTGTCACATCCTCTTTGACCTTGTGGCCTTTCACACACTTTGCACACTTTCTTCACACACTAATCTCCTGGACTATGCAGCCAAGCCCAGTACTGCCTGCAAGTGAGCTAAACTCTGTGCCAGGAGAGAGCGAAATGCAAATACAAGTAAAAAATAAAATAAAAGTATCCAGCGTATCTATACCCAATAATAACAAAATCCACAGTTCTGATTTACCAACAAAGTCCAACTCATCCAAGCAACGCTCTTTTCCTCAAAGGTGTTTGTATTCTGCTGGAGATGAGAACGACATAAACTAACAACAATCTGAATTATTCATTATTCATTTATTCCATTTTGTAGCACTGTGAAACACTGAAGGTCAGATCATGCATCCGGCAGAGAGCAGTGCCATGCACGACACACGCATCTTTACTGGTTTCAGACCGACACAGTTGTCATTTTCCAGTCTAGTGTTCACATTGTTTAAATAGCAAATTCCCTTGCACCCCTCTGACCGCCCACTGAACTTGTAGGTCTTAAATGAGACGTGGTCAGACGCATTGTTGGTGCATTGCTTAATGTAACGGTAACGTTCCTGTTGTAGTGAATGCATCTGATCCGGACAGTTTCCTGCTGCGTTCTTCATGTGTGAACTCGGGAAAATGTTCGGACCCAATTTTCCAGATATTTTGCAGAGTTCAAGTCTAAAAGTAGGATTAACTTAAGGGTCCTTTATCTAAATAGTAACATGCAACTGTGTGTGAAAAGAAACTGTTTCCTCTATAGGGAATCATTCTCTCACACTAATCTGCCAAAAAACTTGTTTTTTAAAGGGAATGGGAGTTTTTACACTAAAAACACACCCAACTAATGAAAAGAGAAAATAAAATCCCTTTTCAAATGTGCATGTGGCACGGCAGCTTTTCTTTCCGCTGCTAAACTAACAGAAGAAGATTTTGACACATCCTTGTGCCATTCCCTCGACAGCACTGACATTAAACTGTAATAAATCTGTCGCAGAAGGCCAATGAAAGCTCAAATTAAAGGGCAATTTTAAGAAAACAAGTGTCGGTCATACCTTGGAGCATGCAGCGGTATGCTGACTCAGAGATGGCATAGATGTGTGGAGGCATCTCGTGCCTCTTCTTCCCTCTGTACATCTCGATGATGTTCTCTGAATAGATGGGCAGGTTCTTGTAGGGGTTGATGACCACGCAGAAGAGGCCAGAGTATGTCTGTAATTAGACAAACATGAGACGTTAAGATACAGTCGGGAACACAGAAACCTTGCAGCTCCTGAATAACCATTATTTTTTTTAGTAGAGTTAAAAACAAGCTCTCTCTTTTCAGAGTTTGAAGAGTAAAACATCAGTGTTTTAACATTAAACAGGGGCATGAAAGTTTCTAGCTTCTTAAATCATCAGGCCTGCATTGTATTAGCACAGCAAGATTTGTCGTTACTCATTTTTTAGGAGCATACATCATCGGAGCAGGCACGCAACACAGTGATAGACACTGGGCAGACTGATAGAGTCGGGCAGACTTGAGGGATATAGTGACAGAAATGAAACACTGAACAGACTCTTGCCTCTTGTGCGAAAGCAAAAGGCCTCGAGAGACCTGACGAAAACCTGAAATATGAAACAACACTTATGTGAACAAAGAGTGTATGAATAAAGCTGCAGTGAGTCGCTTCTGCTGTGAACGTTCCGATCGCCTATATTTTTCTGACTTGCAGTGCAGCATTTGGCCGTGCAATTAGCCCGAAGATCTCTCCCCGGAGAGGGTGTGTGGTATGAACACTTCTCAGCTATGCTGTAGGCTGAATTGACCAGGCAGCTAGGAATGAGTGAGAGGCCCTGGTGGGGCAATGGCTCTCTTTCATTCTGCAGATGCTATAGGGGCTCAGCATTCCCCCCTATAGATGACACAGAGAAAGAGCTGCTTACCAGTAGTATGACTTTCATCACTGGCATGCTGGGCTTTAGTCTAGAGGCCTGTGAAATAATGCCCAACCCAGCTACCTTGCTAGCGTACAGCACATACAGTACCTGTTGAACACAAAGCTTTGCTACAGCTAAATGCATAGGTAAGTTCTGGACCTCAAATCTTTAGTAAGAGCAGTGAAAGAGACTTATTACAATACTGAAGTCACATTTGTCAGTTTGTCAATTAGTAATACTTACAAATAACATGTATGGTTTATCAAATTATTCCTTTATTCACACGGTCAAATGGACTCACACTATACAGACACATGTTCAGTGCACGGAGCCGTCAGGTCTATCTAACAGACATACATCTGTACAGCTACACATTTTCTCTTACAAAGAGATCTTCTGTGAAAAACAGAAGAGTAAAATCAGAACCATGATCTGTGAAAGGTTCTGTGATGATGTTGAAATTATTTTCAGGAGTGGGCTCATCTCTTGCATGCCAGCGTGGCCCTTGAAGTTCATAAAAAAAACACATGTTCTCTACAGACTGTGGCCTGTAATAAATGAATGAGCCTCTGTTTTAAAAAGGATTAATTGTTTCAAGAGCAGTTTTTTTTTCTGTTGCTCCGTCTGTTGCATACCATAATACAGTGTAGACAATAATCAAAAATGACATATTTAGAGTAAGTGCCCTGAAGCGACCTTTTCGCATCAAAGCATCAAGACATCTGCTTCATAATTAAAACTGCATTTAAGGCTGATGGAGACACCACGTCATGAGTGCTTCAACTTTCCTGTAGGTTGACAAAGGGGTGCCAGAGAAGAGAGGCTGTTACATAACAGCTGAGTAAGACCTTATTTATCACTGAGCTCTGTACTGCTGCTGATACACAAAAAGAAATGAGGAAGGACGAGAAGGAGAGAGAGAGGTAGACAGATATGAAGCATTGGGGCAATGACCCGGCTGACAGGGCTCCCTGTGGTCCCATCCAGTCGAGAAGCAGAGGTTTAGAGAGGCGGGGAGGACCTGAGCTGAAATTCCAACTCCCCACTCTCATTTTCAAGGCCTATGAAAAATTTATTCCCACCTTATCTAAAAGCTGGAGCTGCTATAAATAGGGAGAGGGGTCTGTTCTCTTCGACTTTGCCACATGCAGCACTGAGGCGGCTGGTAGTGAATAAAGAGAGATACCTGAACTGTTAACTCAACGTGGATGGTTGCAGAGAGTTCAACAGGGCATTGTAATTTGCTGCTCCATGTCTCTATAATTAAAAATGCACAGAGCACTTAATCAAGAGGTGTTTTCTTGAACTAATGGTGCAACAGTTTCAGGTTTTATCTCCATTGCTTATGAAACACGATATCAACTCTAAACGGTGGTTGAATTTGAATGTGGCTTTTATTTAGGAAAAAAGTTAGGGATCCAATATTAATCCCCTAAACTCTGACAAATTACACAAAATCCCTCTTATTCAAAAAGAAACTAGGACTACTTTCTGCATTCTTGTGGCTGTGATGACGCTGCTTCATATTGAAAAATCCTGCAGGATCAATGCTTTATAAAGAACATGTGGCCGCTCGCAGAGCGTACGACTAACTCAACACCACCTGCCAAACCGCCATGCCCGGCCCTGTCCAGGAAAGAGAAGGTGATATTTCCACTGTGAAATCAGATCCAGGGGAATTGATGCCGTGGCCTAGTAACAGCTGAGCAACACACAGGCAACAGCAGACACAACAGCCGACCCCATCTGCCGTCTCTGACCAGTCAGGCAGCGAGCCTGCGTCTATATGCTGTTCTCCACTGCAGAGGCTGGAGAAGGGTGCAGAGGCAGCCACTGTGCATTTGATCTGTGAGGGGAACGGGAGACTTTGACCGCTATAGAGGTTTCATAACAGAGCCAACGAAAACTTCAAACCAGGCTCTTGAAATACGACTAATACACTGAGAGACATGGTATCAGATCACACTGACAGCAGCAGGACACGATCTGCTTCTCTCTTGTTTTAATAAGTTTAACATTTTTACTGCAGTCTATTAATAACACGGTGAAAAATCACATTTATAAAAAAATCAAGAAAAGCGAGAAAAATGTCAACATCATTGCTGTGTTAAAGGGAGACTGCACGTGACTTTTGATCCGACGTGTAAAAACTCTCTCTCTACAGGGACGTGAGAGTGACTGTGCAGTTTTCAGTTGCTGCTTTACCTATGGCCCTGCAGCAGATCCAGCATGAGAGAATATAAGTTTACGTGTTTGGCTTGTATATATCTAACATTTTAAAATCCACAAAAAGGATGCAAGAAATAAGGTAGAGATGCAAGAAGGAAATACATCAAATCAATGTCATTATTGTTCCAGTGAGCCAGGGAGGAGTGTGGGAAAGAGAGCAGAGTCAGTGAAGATAGGACGGACACTCAGCAGCAGCCGAGCTGAAGTGGGCGGCAGGAGACAGACGGACAGACAATCTTTTTACCATGGAAGAATGCTGAGGCTTTCTGACAGCTGAGGCTTATCTAACGACACAAAGGCCCGCTTGTAGCCCCACTAGCATGGCATGGCCTGGCGTGTAGCACTGTGGTTAGCCTGTGACTCACCGATTCACAGACAGAAAGCTGACACATTAAATGAGTTGGACCAAGAGTCTGACCGGCGGCACACAGATGAAACCGTGCTGTGGGCAAATGGCCGGTTCACGACAGTCCGGCCCCACTACTGCATCGTAAACCAGAGGGCCAGAGACACAGAGGTGGCCATAAGATTTGAGATGCTGGCAAGTTCCAGTGTGTGAATAAACATACAGGCAGACAGAGACCAGGGTCACACGTTTGCCAACATTACTGGGAAGCTGCTGAGTGTTAAATTCATTAGCACCACTGACTCATCTCATTTGGCAGAAGCTGAGTCTTACTTTGAAAATTCAACGTGAAGGCCATGCCCCTCCGCATCCAATTATGTTTTCAGCTTTCAAGAGCAAATGACAAATCATGGCAAGAGATTTCAGCTTTTTCAAGGCTGGGTCTGAAGCGAAACAGGCAAGCGCAGAATATTTTTACAATATTTTCCATGGTTGTATTTATGAACCAGTTCACAAATACCATGAGACAAAGAGCACAAGAGCCCCTTAAGTAATAAAGTAAGTTATGGACTGTTAATGCACTCGCAAATTAACAAACTGTCTAACACATCTATGCTGCTCAACACGGGGATTCAGATATGGACGTCTTCCCGACCACCTCAACTAAGAGCACAGCCTGAGGGAGGCATTATACTATGTCTGCAGTAGATGTAGCAGAGCAGTGGGGGGTTAGCAAAACACATTGGAAGAAGTCTGGAATGAAGGGGAATTTCTCTTCCTGATAGAAAACCAACACAGTCGGACACATGTTTTCAATTTCTCTTAGGCAAGGGGCAAATTAACAAGCTCCAAAGCCAACTCCGAACCACGAAAAAAGTAGAAATCATGACATTATGGTATGAGAGAGAAAATGAGGAGGAACCAAGGACTGACATGTCACTTCGAAGCATTTCTTGAAAGTGACAAATGTCCGTGTCTCATTCACACAGGCATTCAGCACTTTGTGGTGTAGAACTAAACTCAAACACTCAAGACTCACCTTTGACCTTATATTAACTGTGACGCACACGCTGCACACTGAAAAGAGCTGCTAAACTTAGGTTCTATGGTAATTTTTTTTTATCAAGTCTGGTAAAGTGGATAAATCAGGGCAACAATCCTTCAGCCCCTGAACCAGAGTCTCTCAGGTAATAACCAACCCACATTCTATTTCGGGAAAACGTGTCATTAAATGGGTCAAGATCAACCCTAGAACATCACAGAGCGGCACAAACCACAGCAAACTGTGTGAAATACATTTGAGACAAGAAAATCACATCACTGACTGTGAGGACACAGGTAAATCTAATTGTGTGTTGCGCTGCAAACTGTATGGAGTCAACTGAGCTTTTAAAACACTGATACATGCTTTTATTACAGCCACACTCCTCTTGATTTAACACGTGGAAAAGATCTTTGAATTGATGTGTACTGTGTGTAGCATCAAGAAATCCAGGCTACAATACAAGGCGACAAACACATCCCCTGTTACGCTAAATCTTGGGGCAAATGTGCCACATAAGAGAGAGGGGTCAAACCATCTGTGATTGAACAAGGCCACCAGTAGGAGCAGGGCAGGACAAACAAACTGAAAGCAGCAGTGTTTATGGAAGAGGGCAGCCTTTAGCTGAGGTGAGACAGAAGACATGGGGGAAGGTAACAATCTGTAACACAGAGGCTCTTGTGAGAGGTGATCCCGTCGAGGGAAAAGTCTGGCAATGGTTAAAAGACTGGTGAAATCTGTCACTCACGTTGTGCGGTCAGGGTTCACACATGGGAGCAAAAAAAGCTCAATGTTCTCGATGATAAATATCAGATCTCACTCTCGCAGAAGAGGAGAGACATGCTAGAGGTTTAGATCAGCGTGCACACAAGCAGAAATCCGTCTGATTATTTTGCAATTATATCAGCCTGGGGTGAAATTCAATACCCAGCTGCGAGAACCAGGAGAGCTGTGGGTTTTAAGGTTAATCATTCGCCATGTGTGGAAAGTATAAACCGTCACACCGTCTAAATCACTCACGTATATGAGTCCAGAGTAGTAGCGGTCCTTCAGGTTGTGCAGCACAGACGCCTCATTCAGACAGGTGAGCTCGGCCATGTCTTCCACCTTGCTGAACTTGGGCGGGTTCATCTTCTGGATGTCGTCCTTGTTGATCACCACCTTCTTGCCGTTCTCAGCCAGCTCCACCAACACCTCCTCGCCCCGCTCCTCTCGGATGCTGGCCGCCTCAAAGCCATGGCGCTCTGAGGGGACCCACACCAGCTTCTTGGCCGTCCAGTCGGCCTGCGTGGCGGGGTTATAAACCACAGCCCGGTCCACGAACAGGTACCGCTCAGGGTCCTCTTGCCCACTCCGATGAGACATCTTTACTGGGGTTTACCAGAGCAACGTGGCCACCTAGAACAGACAGGGGGGCAGGGACATGTAGGCAATCAATAAAAGTTAAAAATCAATCCTAAAGCAGACGGGGAGCCGATGTAAAAACTGTAAAACAGGTGATTTTATCTCTTGGTTCAAGTTAGCGTCAGCGAGCTTCACGGGGAGCCACAACTGTATGTCATCCACAAATGGAATGAAAGACCATGTCTGTGGATGACGTCATCCAGGAGAAGCATATTCAGAGAAAACAGAACCGATCCGAGATTGGACCCCTGAGGTACACCACATTTCATATGGGAGGATGCTATCTACCTATCTACCTATATATATCAATCTCTCTCTCTATCTATCGATCTACCTATCTCTCTCTCTCTCTCTCTCTCTCTCT